TATTGAGACACAATTATAGTTAGGAGGGAAATGAGGGAGACATTTCCAAAAACTACCTGCTAATTCACTGCTGCCTCTGAGCCAATGAGGAGGGCGGGAGCCAGGAGAATTGTAGCTCTTGTGCACATTGCTGGTTCAAGATTGAGCTCAAGTAATATACTAGGGTGGACAGGGAGCTAAACACAGAAGATTTTTTTACCTTCATGCATATAATGCATGAAGGTAAAAAACCTTCAGCCTTTAGAACCACTTTAATACCCAGTTTTCAAAGATGGGTTGCAAGAGACATATGAGATGCCTATATTCACTTCTCCAACCCCAGTAATATGTAATGTTTACTTGTTAGTTACTTTTTCTCCTCTATAATGATGGTTGGTTGTCATCCTGTAACATCATATATCATTCTGCTAGTATACAGTATGTTGACAATGTACCATCCAAATGTTAAAAAAAAAAAAAAAGAAATACTGAAGTTTAGTGGACCTATAAAACAGGCCAGACATCATACAATAGATAATAGAGTTCTCTAAGGGAGCCTTTCTTTGTGATGTTATACCGTAAGAGCTACCGTTTATGATGATCTTTCCTGTTTGATCATTTTTGCCTATGCTCGAGATTGAAACTGTTTGTAAGTGTGATTCCTTCTTTTTTAATAAATGGTTTGCAAACTGTCTGCACTATGAGAGGCATTATTTTATTTTTGCATTGTTATAAACTAACGCCAAGCGATCAGAATGTTTAAAGGAAGACACATGTGGTTCAGTCTGTGGCATGGCAGTGTGCATTGATGGTTTCCAACAAAGCGGATGTTCACCTCCTATAATTAAGGGGTCAAAGGCTTGCAAGCCTCCAATTTGTTGTCACAGTGGTGTAGTGGTGACGTTGGTGGATACACAACTTTGAATGAAGATCTGGGATCATTCACATAAGGAAGGAAAAGGGAACTGTTTCACATATTTTCATTTGGACTGCCACATATATGATTATTATTTTACACTTTGACCAATATTCTGCACTTTATTCTTTGGGTCTGGGCTATTTTATAGCACTGTTATCTATTGCATAATTGTACATTTAATTAATAATTTAAATATTTATTAGAAATCATTTAGAGAAACACCAGTTATATCTTTTCACTTTTGATATTAACAGAGGATATCCTCTTGGAGTGTTTGCTGCTTTACTTTTATGAGTTAAGCCTTTGATTTAGTTATTTAGACCAGACATCATACTGGAATAAAAAAAATTGATTATTACATATAGAATATAAATTTAGTTTTCTAACATTGCATTTGTTTTGTAGATATTAGAATAACTAAAGAAATCAATGCAGGACATAGTCCACATTAAAAAAATAATTATAATAAACAAATAAAATAAAGAAATTTTAAGATATTTAAAAAGTAAAATTGGCATGAGAATATGAAACTTGTGGCATTTGTGTTTGATAACAATTTACATGCATTTATGTTATTTTATATGAAAGAATTCTGAATTCTTGTCTTTACTGACATAATAAAAGCTGCAGCATTCATTTTAAACAGATTTCTATCTATCCCATTTATACCTCTTTTTACTTCATTTTCAGATTATACAAGCTTTTAAATCATGTTTTAAATAATAGCTTCTCAAGCTCCATCCTTCATTATTTCTTAATCATAAAAAGATAATTGACAATCAAGCCCATTAGGAGGCAATCAAGAGTTGGTTCTGCAATTGCTGGAAGAATAATACTCAGGAAAGTTTTGTTCCTAAGTAATGAACAGTTAATAAATGACTTGAGGTCAGCTTTAGTTATGCTAAAAAAAACAGAATCAACACCTTTGGCGGAATCTTATGAGGAGTCTTTGTTCTTTGGGCTATTACTTAAGCAACAAGCCAAAAAAAGTATAAAATGTCCTTCTAAAAGTGGAGATGTTAAATGCATTCCCCAAGGAGCACCCTAGCATAGTGAGCTAACATTGTTGCATCATAGTTTGACATATAGGCTCCAGGGTGTCTTCTACACATGGGAAGCTCCACTAATTTTTTGCTGATGCTGGGAATATAAGTGTGGGAACGAAGTCCCCAATACTAGATCCCACATTACAATAAAAGAGGATGTACCATATTGAAGAATACTTAGTCAGAAACAGAAAAATATAATGCTATATTGTAAGCAATCATGGTGTAATAATAATACCAGACTGTAGCCCCCATATCACAATAAAAAGGGAAAGTCTGTGATGCTCAGAATGTTCTGCTCTGAATAGTGTGAATGCCCACATCACGTGGAACAGTGAGCAAGGGCTAAAGAGACTTGGTTAAAGAGAACATGCAACTATTGTCTGCATATATTACATACATTTGCCACAGCCCGTCTACCCTGAAAATATTGATTTCATTACTTAATTACTGTTCTAGTGGTGAGAATCCCACATACACACAGAAACTTCAAGACCAAACTTTGACCAAAAAAAAAAATGAAAAATGAACACAAGTCTGATGAGTCCTGTATTTAAAAAAATAGCCAATGAAGTTGCTCCATGTCAACCATGATTCCCAATGCCCACAGAATGAAAAAAAACCCAACAGAAGGAAATTGTCATGTTCATCAATGCCAAGTGCCCTAAACATGCGGACGAAAATCTGAAAAACAAATGTCTGGTCCAAATATAGGTTCGGTCCAAACACTCACTCCATGTAAACTGATTTTCTAATTAAGTTAAACAAATTAGGAATTGGGATCTGCCATTGCTGGCCTGCTTTTAAAAGTGTGGGCTCTAGTGCTGTTTTAGTTCACCATTGTTTCACTACTAAAAAGGAAAGCCAACCCAAAAGTGATCTTTCAGATTTTGAGAGATGTTAAAAGGACATTGTCATTAAAGATTAATGATCAGTGTAGCAGGAAGGTTGGAGCACCCCAAAACTGAAAAAAAAAAACTCCATATTGACTCTCCTATTACACTAAACTCCTCTAGTCTGTGGCATGGCTTTGATTTAAATCTTTTTACTGTAGAGTCAGCAGACAGGCATTGGAAGGTATTTTGCCTTAATGCAGAAAATGCATTAGGGTAAAAAAAAAACTTTTTGAGTTTAGAGCCACTTTTAGCCCTATCTCTAAATGCTCTAGATGCTCTAAACATTAAATGAAAGAATCTCTGCTCTTTTAGGAATTACATAAATGGTAAATCTCTGAAATTTTACTGTCTGGCATGACAGTGCATATTATAGATATTTCTTTAGTCCTCATGCACACTGGACATTTTTACAGCTGCTGTTTTTGGCTTTTGATGTTTTTTTCTACAGCTAGTAAACCCCCCAGAATTTTATCCTATGCGTCCATGCCCACATAGACTGTAATCAAGGTTTTTTGGCTGGAACTTTTTTTGGCTGTAAAAAAAAAAAAAAAACCCAGGAATAGTGGGTTTCTAGAGGAGTTTTTTAGCTGTAAAAATGCTCTAATGCTGAAAAAAACGCAGCAAAACATGGTAAAATGCCACAAACCGGCATTTTTGGATGTTTTTTTTTTGACCCCCCTATATTTTTTTTTTTTAATAAAAAAAGCTAAAAAAACACAAATGCGGTAAAACACAGCTAAATGCTAATGCAAAAACACTTAAAAAAGCTGAAAAAAACGCACATTTTTAACATGATTTTACACAGCTAACATTACCAGGTTATTGAAATGTCCCGTGTGCATGCGGACTAAAAGTCAGAATCGTTAAGTTATTTTAAATTGTTAGCATTTCCAAAAAGCACAGCTGGCAGCTGTTTTGCCACTTCTGGCTTCTTTTTGTTTGTTTACAAACTGTTGCTGGCTTGTGAAGAGGCAGATCAAACCATCTTGGTTTAATCTGCTGCTTTGGATGCCAGAGGAGAGATTTCTTCATAAAAAGGACTTGTCATGGCCCATGCTTTCACAAAGGATGTTCTTCATCCTTTGTGATAGCAACAAACATGATCAAGAAGAAAAAATAGGTTCAGTGTAAAAATAAAAAACAATTAAATAAATAATAACATTAAAAAAAAAAATCAAAGCACCTCCATCTCCTCATGCTTCTGAGCAAAAGTGAATGCAAACATTTGCTTTTGAAAAATCGCTGTGCAACTTCCATGTAACATAAAAAAATTGCAACACACCATTTTATTTTCTAGGGCCTCTGTTTAAAATATATACACTATATTGGCAAAAATATTGGAACATTTTCCTTTACACACGCACATGAACTTTAATGGCATCCCAGTCTTAGTCCGTAGGGTTAAGTATTGAGTTGGCCCACCCTTTGCAGCTATAACAGCTTCAACTCTTCTGTGAAGGCTGTCCACAAGGTTTAGGAGTGTGTCTATGGGAATGTTTGACCATTCTTCCAGAAGCGTATTTGTGAGGTCAGGCACGGGTGTCAGACGAGAAGGCCTGGCTCACAGTCTCTGCTCTTATTCATCACAAAGGTGTTCTATTGGGTTGAGGTCAGGGTTATGTGTAGGCAAGTCAAGTTACTCCACTCATCAATGTCTTTATTGAGCTTGCTTTGTGCACTGGTGCGCAGTCATGTTAGAAAGGAAGGGGCCATCCTTAAACTGTTCGCACAAAGTTGGGAACATGAAATTGTCCAAAATGTTATGGTATGCTGACTCCTTAAGAGTTCCCTTCACTGGAACTAAGGGGCCAAACCCAACCCTTGAAAAGCAACCCCACACCATAATCCCCCCTCCAGCAAACTTTACACTTGTACAATGCAGTCAGGCAAGTACAGTTCTCCTGGCAACCACCAAACCCAGACACATCCATTGGGTTGACAGACAGAGAAGTGTGATTTGTCACTCCAGAGAACATGTCTCCATTGCTCTAGAGTCCAGTGGTGGCGTGCTTTACACTACTGCATCCAATGCCTTTCATTGCACTTGGTGATGTAAAGCTTGGATGCAGCTGCTCGGCCATGGAAACCCATTCCATGAAACTCTCTGTGCACTGTTGTTGTGTTAATCTGAAGGCCACATGAAGTTTGCAGGTCTTTAGCTATTGACTCTGCAGACAGTTGGCGACTTCTGCGCACTGTGCACTTCAAGATGCGCTGACCTCGCTCTGTCATTGTACGTGGCCTACCACTTTGCGGCTGAGTTGTTGTTGTTCCCAATTTGTTTATAATACCACTAACAGTTGACCGTGGAATATTTAGTAACAAGGAAATTTCACGGATGGACTTTTTGCACAGGTGGCAACCTATCACGGTACCACGCTTGAATTCACTGAGCTCCTGAGAGCGACCCATTCTGTCACGAATGTTTGTAGAAGCAGTCTGCATGCCTATGTGCTTGATTTTATACACCTGTGGCCAGAGGGGGCCCTGGACTGGGGGGGAGCAGAGGAGGCCCTGGAGTGGGGGGGGGCTTGCGGAGGCCCTGAACTGGAGGGTGCAGAGGATGCCCTGGACTGGGGGGGGGGGGTCAGAGCAGGCCGAATCTAGAAATTGGGTGATTGGTGTGGCAAAGACCCTGGATTAGGAGGGGGTGCAGAGGAGGAACTGGGCTAGGAGGGGAGTGCAGCAAAGGCCCTGGATTGGGGAGACAAAGGAGACATTGGACTAGGTGAGGAGGTGCCTGGAGGTCCCAGACTAGGAGGGGGGTTTGGAGGCCCTGGCCCAGGAAAGAGGGTGCCTGAAGGACCTTCCAGGTTCAGGGAGAGAAATAGCCTGAACCTAAAGCTTTGGCTGAGAAAGTGCCTGCCTGGGCCCTGGAGGGTGAACCTAGAGTCAGTGAGTGCACAACATAAATGGGAACATTTATCATTTGTCGCAAGTAATGCCAAACAGGAGCAGAGAGACAGGTTGTGTGACAGATTTATTAAATACCTGCTATCTGACCTACATGAGAATTAGGCCTCATTCACACGGAGCACATGCATCCATTCCCCGTTTGATGGTCATGTACTGCATGGGGATGCACAGGTGTTCTGTGCTTCCCTGTACGGGCAGTGCAATAAAAGTCAATTGGGATGCAGCAGCTGCATGGACTTATTCGCATGTCAAAATCTGACATGCGGGCAGGAAGAGGTGCACATATCTGATTGCACAGTGTCTGCATTTGAATCTGTGCACCCACTTCTATGGGTGAAGTTCTGAGTTAGATGCAGATGCAGCAAAAAGTGGCCCAGCATAGAGGACATGTCTCAGTGCCTGTCTGATTGAGCCCTTAGAGGAATTCAGAACTAGAGCTGCCAGAATCTATAGCAGCTGTATGGCCAACCAATCAGCTCATAGCTTTAATTTTCAAAGGTTAAGTGAACAAGGTGAAGATAGAAGCTGATTTGTTGCCATGCACAGCTGCTCCAGATTCTGAATGCACCAGTTTTGATAAATTCCCCTCACTGTGTTTTACATTTCATACACCTGACTATTGCATTCTAAGTACCGTATTTTCTGGCATATAAGACAACTTTTTACCCCTTGAAAATCTTCTCAAAAGTTGGGGGTTGTCGGTTATACGGCATGCTGACACTTTTTAGGGGGGCGGCGCATCGCCGACGCCGCCCCCCCCCCTTCCAACGGAAGGGACACTAAGTACAGGGGTGGGCAGGGGCTGCTGTTTCTTACCTGGCTCCGGTCCCGCGACGATCCAGTCCAGGAAGCGTGGCTGCTCCTTCATCCAGTTCGGCCACTGGATATTCGCGCGGCTGCTCGGCTCTGCCTCCTCACCGGTGATTGGCCGCCAGAACTGTAGCTCAGGAAAGGCACACAGGCGGCCAATCACCTGCGAGGAGGCGGAGCCAAACTGCCCTGCGAGAACCAAGTGAAGGAGCGGACGGTAAGTGTGCCGTGCAGAGGTGCTGCTGCAACCACATATGCTGGCTGCAGCAGCACCATACTGGAACAAGGTCATTGGTGTCAGTGGGAGGAATAGTACCCCATCATTGGTGTCACTGATACCAATGATGGGGCATTATTCCTCCCACTGACACCAACGATGGGGCACTTTTCCTCCCCCCCACTGACACCAACGATGGGGCACTATTCCTCCCACCCCCACTGACAACAACGATGGGGCACTATTCCACCCCCCCCCCACTGACACCAATGATGGGCACTATTCTACTATTCCTCCCACTGACACCAATGTTGGGACACTATTCCTCCCTCTGACACCAATGATGGGGTGCGATTCCTCCCACTGACACCAAATGATGGGGCACTATTCCCCCCACTGATACTAATGATGGGGCACTATTCCTGCCACTGATACCAATGATGGGGCACTATTCCTGCAACTGATGCCAATGATGGGGCACTATGCATCCCACTGACACCAATGATGGGGCACTATTCCTGCCACTGATATCAATGATGGGGCACGATTCCTCCCACTGACACCAATGATGGGGTGCTATTCCTCCCACTGACACCAATGATGGGACACAATTTGTCGCTCTGATACCAATGATGGGGCACTATTCCTCCCACTAATACCAATGATGGGGCACTATTCCTCCCACTAATACCAATGATGGGACACTATTCCTCCCACTGACACCAAGGATGGGGCACGATTCTTCCCACTGGTGTGCATTGGAAGAGGGGTAGTCTTATACGGTGAGTATAGCCCAAACACTATATTTTAACAGGAAAAGTAGGGGGTCATCTTATACGCCCAGTCAGTCTTATACGCCGAAAAATACGGTACAGAAAATCACTGAACACCTTTCTTTGTTAAGGTAGGCTGTGTGTAGGAAAGCATATGTAATAGAACTGTTTTATTTTATTAAAATGAGTACATTGAAGTTTGTACATGCCTCTGTTTGTTCCATACTCGCTTGTGGCAGTCATTAAAGCATATGTCCCTTTAAGACCTCCCACTGTTGCCAAAATCTGTCCACACCCACTGTTTTGGCATGGTGCACACAGCACCACTATATCACCACATACCTTTTTTGGGGTGGGGTGCAAAAAAATGACCAGTCCCAGGTGCCAGATGTGCTAGCTATGCCTGTACACCTGCTAAGGACTTGAAACATTTCTAAACTTCTGCTAAAAGTCTATTGAAAAGCCAATAAATGTGTAATTGTTTAAGATAACAAAGTAGAACACATTTTTTTATTTTTTGGAGAAACAAGGCATTCTTTCGGTGATATTGTCTTGCAAAAATTGTTTTTTTTTTTTATATAATTCATAGACAAAACTAAAAAAAGTGTTTTTTTATGTCTTGATCAGTATTTACAATAGTGTTACCGTTGATAAAAAGAATTAATTTTATTATACAATTTGTCCTGTTTAAAATTATTCTAACATTATGATTCTGGTACAAAGTATTTTATTTACAAATGAAATACAGGCTTTTTTGGAGCTTTTTTAGTTCCATGTCATGCTTCCTTGATGATTTCTTTACCAAGTTACCCTACTTTCTCTCTGAATTACCCACAACATCCTTTTTAATGCTAACACCTTGCTACCCTTCAGCTTCTCAAACTAACCTCCTATTTTGACCTAACACAATGGACACACACACTTACTCTGATAGCAACACCCTTGACCTCCTATTCTCTGCACTCCTTGCAACCTGTCCAAAAGCCATTTTCCTCTCTCTGATCACAACCTTATACATTTCACACTAACCCTGTCGTCAGCACCCTGCCCTGCCAGGAAACAATAATTTGTAGAAACCTCCACCACTTCAGTTCTTCATTTCTCTATTCTAATACTAACTTCCTCATGGCAAAATGTTACCTGTGACCTGCCCTGACCTTGTCAATTACTGCCAAGTGGGTTCCAGTCAGAGGATGATGGCAGACTATACCTGGGTGTTTGAGTAAGTAAATGAGAAAAGTGAGCATCAGCAAAGCAGGATGGTGTCGAGGGGCAGCTTTCAGAGGGGTGGAGGGAACAGCTGCCTTATTTCAGCACAGGGCACTGCCCCACAGGTGCTGGCCACTGGAATCCTTAGATCCACTCTGCAGGGCTTAGAGGTGTGATCCTTTTTTATATATATGTGCTGTAGACAGCATTGTATTGGTTTAAAGTCTCTGCCTGCTGTGTGTCAAGCAAATTTGGAAATCTACCAGTCATTTTGGTATAAAATACATTGGCTGTTCACCACGAAGCTCAGTGGGGAGCAGCACGTGAATGATACCAGTCAGCAGTCAAAGTCCCAAATTCCTCCTCTTTCTCGTCTCTCTCTTTCCAATTGTAATAGTCCCTCTCATTGATTGGCAGTTCACGCCATGCTGATTCTGGGCATGCCTTGCTTCTTCTTGGATGGGACAGGCAGCTACCTGTTGTTTGGAGATACTCGACCATATTGTGTCACACTTCTTGGCTCACTTCCTTACATTCCTGGCCTAAGGCCTGTTAGACTGAATAAGGCTCCATTCACATTATTGCATACTGGGGACGAGCATTCCCACTACTCGATTTTGACAGTGGGATTTTCATGCCATTCTGCCTGTTGCACAGTGCAGCTCATTCACTTGAGAATAGGTTGCCCTATGAGCATTTGTTGACAGAAAAGAAGCTGCCGCTCCTTTTCAGGCAACAAGCTTCACGTGATCTTTAAAGGTGCGATTTGCTGAGATTGCTGTGTGATTCTATCAAATGACAATTGTGGCAGAATCTCATTGCGTTTGGGGTGACATTGGGTTGTGCTGTGATTGCCATGCGATTTGGAATTGAGGCCAGAATCATGCTTGTGATTCCAAATTGGGACGTGCGAATGGATCCTAATGAATTGTCCAATCCAAAATGCTTTTCAATGCTTTTCTGCATGATGTCACTCCAGCACATATCCTAAAGTCATAGGCACCTCTCAGTACAGTTGACTCACTGACAGAATACCATATAAATGAATACCAAACCCATGCAGCTGATGTTTTAATCTTTTTTTTTTTTTATCTGGCCACATATCCATTATTATACCATGCAGCATTGCCATCTCCTCTCACCGCCACTGGTCTGCCAGCTTTGCTGTCTCATGCTGCCTAAACACTTCCAGTCCAGTTCTTCGATATTACTGTGTAGCACTGCTGTGTATGCAGTGTATTATGCTGCTCAGGCAATTCCATGATGCCAAACCCTAATGTTTCTGCAGTTGCACCTTAGCTACCACAATTGCAAATTTTATCAAGCAGGGTCATTCCTGAGTATTGTCTCAATGTTTGCAGTGCTTTATGCTGCTCCAGTAATGTCAGGTGTCGCAGCTAATGTTTACACAGCTTCACTAAAAATTGTAAAATATATGCTCAGTGCAGGGTAAAGCATGTTCTTTGTCTCACATTTTCAGCCTATTCCTGTGTTCTGTTAATCCAAAATATTTGAGGCTATTGTGACTGTGTCTCTCAGGAATAGTGCAGTCTGAAAGTAATTATATTTCAATAAAATCTGCCTGGTCTCTCCACAATAAACTGCATACTAAAAGTGCTTACATTCTCTGTATGGAGCCAGGAAAATATTTTGCTCACTTGTTTTTTGGTTAAGTAATGTCTGTTTTGATTTCAAGCTGCCTGGTGTCTCTCCAGTTCAAAATGCAGACAATTCCAATTTTTTTATTTTTTTAAGAGAGACTTTTGCAACATTGTCTATGCATTATGTTGCACTAGTCCTTTTTAAAGCAAAAAATATACTTTATTAGGTACTTTTTCCTCAAAAGCTGCATGGGATAGGGTGTTTTATCAAGAATTCACAGAAATTCACTAGAATTATGCTCATGCAGTGAATGCCCAATTTCCGTCAATTTTAATAAGACAAATCTACTGACTATTACTGCTAGATAAAAAAAAATCATGTGTTGCAGTAAAAAGTGTTGTAGCATGTAATTTGAAAAACTGGGGTTTTCCCATGTTGCCCTCAATTTGCAAGTTCTCCCTGCCCCCTAATTTTTATTTTTTTTTTGCATTGCTACATGTTCCCCAGTACATTGCCAAATGCCTATGCCCTTTTTGTTTCATTATTCCTTGCATATAAGCCTTGAAAATAGAATGAATTGATTTTAAAAATTGGCCACACTGTAACACTTTAATTACTTTCTTCATGTGCTCTGGCTGTATAGCCCACCCACCACCAGAAATAAAAGGCAGACACACTCTGTCTCTCGGTGATCCAGTCCTATCACCACTTTGCCATGAGGATGCAGAACCTGCTGTCCTAAACTACAAGGGCAAAAGGAAGCTCATAGGAGGTTAAAAAAGGGGACCAAGCAGTTTATAAATAAAAAACAGGCTTTATTATATTCAACGATTACAAACATTAAAAAGAGCACAGATACCCCCACACCATATAAAATAAAAAAAGACAATGTTGTCTATTCAAAATGAAGGGCTGTCCAGCCTGCACACCATACAATCATCATACTCATTCACACATGTCAGATAAACATAATGGCTGGTTGAAAGGAACTAACGTCCATCAAGGTTAAGTAAATATCACTTTCGGCAGTAGAACCTAATGTGAGTATTGCTGTAGCTATCTGAGAGTGTGAGTACTAGGTCCATAGTATTGGATCCAGACATTGATATTGGCTTGGGTGAATGAAGGACCATAGATTGAGTATGTATGAAAGTTATTGCTCAGTTCGATCTGGTGAATAACAGCAATAAAGCCATCACTAAGGCCCAGCTGTGTTGATACTGTATGTTGACCATAGGAAAATATAATGGTGGCCTGTGCATCCAGTGATGGACATAGACAGATCATACAATGGGCTCATCCGTCGCCATATGGTGCATATACAAGAGCCGTCAGTCCATCCAGGGCATAGCAGCATTCCTCTCCTCTATGTGGTGGTGATCACTTGAATGGCTTGTCCCTGGGAGGATCGCAAGGGAGCATATCAAGGTGCGGACCTCAGTGACTGAATATAGTAATGGCTCTTCAGATTGTGATACATGGAGTGCTGGCTGACACTGTCACCTCCATGATGACGTCAGCTAAAACTGGGTCACAGTTGTGAGTTACTCGGATCGCACTATTTATTCGTAATAATTTTGGGTGAGTTGGCTTTATCTCATGTGGTTGTTTGTTACTGTCACCACATAATAGGGCAGTGGTATGGATGGTTCCTTATTGTCATTTTTATCTTTTTTGACTGTGCAGTACCTGCTGTCCCCTTACTACTTATATATGCAGAACCTCTGCCTCTCCCTTCAGGCCTGTCTAACATTATGAATACAAGCAATTGCCTAGCTTTATTTTTAATAGGCCAAAATGCCAATGGGGGAATGGTGATGGGATGCTTTGGTGCACAAATGATGTGGTAATTTGGTTTACAGAATTGTACCACACAAGTAGGTGGTGATGTGCTGCAAACAAATGGCAGTTTTGCCTGTGTACGTAACAAGTTCACACCGCTGATAACAACATGAAAAATGCCCTAAGAAAATTATGTTAAAGTAAAATGTGATTTCCATCAAAAAATAAAAACTGTAACACTAAAACCCAACAATAAACCCTAACCCTTTTTCTTTAAACCTCACTAACTATTATATACTGTATAAAATACATATAAAAATGTGGAATAAAAAAACAATAGCCCACCACACTGCAATTCACAATTATGTAGCAGAATACAGCACTGTGTTGAGCATTGTATAGAACAATGTACATTATATTGCCAGACGTATTTCAACGCCTGACTTTACATGCACATGAACTTTAATGGCATCCCAGTCTTAGTCCATAGGGTTAAAAATTGAGTTAGCCCACCCTTTGCATCTATAACAGCTTCAACTCTTCTGGGATGGCTGTCCACAAGGTTTAGGAGTGTGTCTGTGGGAATGTTTGACCATTCTTCCAGAAGAGCATTTGTGTGGTCAGGCATTGATGTCAGACGAGAAGGCCTGGCTCACAGTCTCCTCTCTCATTCATCCCAAAGGTGTTCTGTCGGGTTGAGGTCAGGACTCTGTGCAGACCAGTCAAGTTACTTCATCCCAAACTCGTTCATCCATGTCTTTATGGACCTTGCTTTGTGCATTGGTGCACAGTCATGTTGGAACAGGAAGGGGCAATCCCCAGACTGTTCCCACAAAGTTCTGAGCATGAAATTTTTCAAAATATCTTGATATGCTGACACCTTAAGAGTTCCCTTCACTGGAACTAAGAGGCCAAACCTTGAAAAACAACCCCACACCATAATCCCGCCTCCACCAAACTTTACACTTGGCACAATGAAGTAAGGAAAATACTGTTCTCCTGACAACTGCCAAACATCCATTGGATTGCCAGACAAAGAAGCGTGCATTGTCACTCAAGAGAACATGTCTCCACTGCTCTTTACGCACTGTTGTTGTGCTAATCTGAAGGCCACATGATGCTTGGAGGTCTATTGACTAGCTATTGACTCTGCAGACAGTTGGCTACTTCGGCGCACTGTGGGCTTCAGCATGCGCTAACCCCACTCTGTCATTTTAACTTGGCCTACCAATTTTCTGGCTGAGTTGCTGTTGTTCCCAGCTGCTTCTACTTTGTTGTATTACTACTAACAGTTGACCGTGGAATATTTAGTAGCAAGGAAATTTCATGGATGGACTTAGTGCACAGGTAACAATATATCATGGTACCACGCTTGAATTCACTGACAGTCTGCATGCCTAGGTGCTTTGATTTTTTACACCTGTGGCCATGGAGATGATTGAAACACATGAATGCAATGATTTGTAGGGGAGCCCCAATACTTTTGGCAATATAGTGTATATTATAACTATCTTTCCTTGCAAACACACTCAGCTCTTCCTATATACTCCAATACACACTGACAAAAGGCTGCCGGGAGCCTTGCATTTTATAATGAGTGGGCTGGCACATAAATAACAAACTTTATTGACTCTTCTAAGCCACTTGGCTAAGTTCAGAGGATGGGAAGTGCATTATTGGTAGTCGGTTGCCAAGATAGTGAATGATCACACACGTTTCACCGAATGCACAAACTGCATCTCTCAAACTCATACTTAACCAGAACCCAAGCTCATCCCTAATGTAAGGTATATATTCCTGAAGCCTTGTAAAGTTACTGAAAAGTCCAATTTGTGGACCACTCATACCTAAATAAGAGATAGGTGGACATTTCTGTACCACTGTAATAGCAGAGTATCTCTTAGAAGGATAAAAGCATAGTGATAAACTCCAAAGAAAAGTAATTATTTCAAAAATCAATATCACGCATTCCCAGCAAAAGCAGTTCAATTAAAAATATATGCATTCGTTGTTTGCTTTAAATATTTTAAATGCCAAATGGAATTGATTCAACACTCACTTCTGGCAAAGGACTTTTTTTCCTCCAATTATTGGAAAATGTCTACACAGATCTACTTTGGATTAGTCCGATAATTGGTTTGCAGGTACTTTGCATGTTGTGCCAAAACATAATAGTGCTTTTAAAATAGAATATTAAACCCAGCAGACAATTATTTGCTTTTCAGTTTGCATCATTTTTTAGACTGATGGAATTTAAAAGGAAAGTAAAATAAAGAGATAAACAAATCAATTCAGCATAACTGTGGTGTTCTGCATCCCACTCCAATTGCTAAGATGCATATTTTAAATGAGAGTTATCATTAAGTTTACTTGAAATGAATGAACAGTTAAATATCATTGAGTCTTTGAATGCATTTCATTGGAGCACGGTTGCTGTAGAGATATGTCTAATAAAAGCCTTACAGCAGTCATTCAGGTGCTCACTTTGTATACTGGAGAGAACAGTGAGAAGATCAATAGAGTTACTGTAGACACAATTAACAAAATGGAAATCATACTTCTATGGCCCAGCTTTAGTTGTGCTTTGGTTATTGAAGCATAACTCCAGACAGACAGCTAAATACACTGTTGAAATTCATTTGTCTATTATTACATGTAGGGGTAGATTTATACCTCTTGCCCACCTAGTACAACTGTCCTGCACCATCCTCTTTCTTCCCCAGTCAACTAGTTAGGCATCATAGCCTCACAAGACATGTCAAAGCTGTGTGTTGGAAATCCATGTGCTCATTCTTTAGTAGTAGCGAAAACCTAACTGTAACTGGGTGTGGTTCAAGAATGTTTGCTGAATACTTAATGAAAAGTTTGGAAATTAAAGCCTAAGTATACCTATCACAAAAAAAAAGTAAATTAAATTAAAATCAGACAGCATAAGCAACATTGCTTATTGTCAGTGAGATGTGTCTTTGTGCTGTTGTGTTCTGTTACCAATATCTTCCTCCTCTAATGATGCCACCCTGCCACTATATTCTTCTGGTGTTGTGAAGGTTATTAGAACTAAGGAGCTGTGACAGGCCCCGTAAATGAAACATGATCTATGAATAGAAAGGCGCAACCTACCAATTATCCATCATCATCCTCCATTCATAGAAGCTGTAGCAAGGGCTTCTATGAATGGAACAGCTAGATAGAAAGGGCAGGTATAGTCAGGCGTTCTTGATGAGTGCCTGTCACAGCCCCTAAATTTTATTAATCTTCACTGCATCAGAATATTGCAGCAGTGGCAGGCATTGGAAAAGGAAGATTTTGGTGAAGAGAGGATACAGCAGCACAAGGAACACTAGAATCTAACTGAAGGTAAGTAAAATCCATTGTGTTGGTTATTTATTTATTTATTTTGTTGTTTTAGCTTGACTTGGAATTTAAATGTTCCCTGAAGTCTACAGGGGATGAATCCTGCAAATTAGGTTTGCCCATTTTTAAGGCTAATAGGAAAGGGATTGTAAAACAAAAAACATAGGGAGCTGAGCACTGCTGGAGGGAAACACATACCAATGCAAAAAAGCAAACTGTTCAAAAATACCATTCAGGGGGATCAGCACTTTTAAAAATGACTGAAAGCACAACATTAACAATGCACAATTCCAAGGGGCTTTGCATATACAATAAGGGACCCAAAACTGGGAAACAGAAGAGTCCCAAGAGTTTTATAACCCCAGTAAGTCCACCAACCATCAAGGGTACCCTCATCTATAGCAAACTACTCTTAGGAGGCAAAGGAAGCACTACAGACCCTGCTACCACTCTACAGAGCTCTCCCATGGCCCTCACTACCTGGAACATTTTCAAAGGGAGATGCAACCTTTTTGTCTCTCCAATCCTTACTACCACCATCCCTTCTCTGAACATCAGTGCCCAACTTTACCTCAGAGCAGCTCTTCCTGGACTATCTGCTGCCAACACAAACTGCTACACAGGAAGAACTGACAGCAAGTACAGATATATGTCGGTGCTTACCTCCTGAAGGAGAGAGGTTTCAGCCAAATCTCCATAGCTCTTCCAGCATTAGACAGAGAGATTTATCACCCAGTTCTTGTGCAAGGAGTGTTGGGGAAAGATCATCCACTCTCAGGGCCCTCTACCATCTAGAAGCACACAACCCCAAGAATCTATCCTCTGCTCTCATAATGCCAAATTGAGATATTTGTGGGCAGGATCCTGTGCGGTGAGAGAGGGAGAATCCTCATATTCCTCCTGGATTCTGAATTCTTCAAGAGATATATCATCCAAGGAGCAGTAGGGAGGCCCCCCTGAAGTCCACCAGCACCAGTATGTCCTAACAAATGCTTCATAGCCTATCCTCACATTTACCATACACCTGGAAATCCAACGATCTTAAATATCTGGGAGTGAAACTAATGCTAGCCATAGATCATTTCTCTGTTGTTCAGCCAGCTGGCTTACACATACCTCCATCTACACAATAATGTGGATGGAGAACTCCTCAACCTGCTCTTTTATTGTATTCTGAGAGTAGATGGTGCTTTCAGAATACACTGATCAGTGGCTGCAGCCATTTGGCTATGACTGTTGATCGAGAAAATTTTTCCAGTATCTGGCAGTGTATAAACAATGCTTTCCTATGATATCAAAAGTACCTCTTATTACCAGTTTGAGCTTACAATTGTCTCAACTATGGATGACTAAAGCTCTATTCCAGTTTGGATATCTCATAGATGACAAAACTAAATATGTATGAAATTCCAAAACAAGTTTGACCTACCCAACATATTAGATTTCTCTAAATTAACCCCATTTAAAGACGTAGGCCTATTCACTCCTTCTCATGAAATCCTGATTCATTGTAGCTATAAAATATTGATCAAAATGCCTCTACAGCTCCCACGTAGACATTCTTACAAATGGAAAGCATTTATGCTGAAATGGGAGATTTTGGAGGAAGTGCTACCTCTGGAGTGATGACAAATAAAATGGTTACAAGTTACTTACCCACTTGCCCTCAGGAAGATTTACCCCCCCCCCCCCCCCTCCTGACCAGGCCATTTTTTGCTATTCCGCGCTGTGTCAATTTAAATGGTAATTGTATGGTCATGCAATGCTGTACTCAAACAAAATGTATGTCCTTTTTTCACACAGTTAAAGCTTTTTTTTGGTGGTATTTGATCACCTCTGTGTTTTTTATTTTTTACGCTAAAAGCAAAAAAGACTGAGAATTTAAAAAAAATATTTTCTCATTTCTGTTATAAAAAATATCCAATAAACTAAAATGTCACAAATTTAGGCCAAAATGTGTTTTGCTACATGTCTTTGGTAAAAAAAATGCTAAGTGTATATTAATTGATTTATGTGAAAGTTATAGCATCTACAAACTATGGTATAGAACCTGGAATTTACTCCATTTTTGCTATACGGCACTACTCTAATTTAACTGACAATTGCGCAGTCGTGCAATGCTTTACTCAAACAAAATGTATGTCCTTTTTTCCCCTACAAATAGAGCTTTATTTTGGTGGATCACCTCTGGGTTTTTGATTTTTTGTGCTATAAACAAAAAAATACTGAAAATTAAAAAAATATATATTTTCTCATTTCTGTTATAAAAAATATACAAAAAAATCAAATTTCTTCAGAAATTTAGGCCAAAATGTATTTTGCTACATGTTTTTGGTTAAACAAATACCAATAAGTGTACATTAATTGGTTTGTGTGAAGGTTATACCATCTACAAACTATGGTATAGATGCTGGAATTTACACAGCATTTAATTTCTGACTGCTTCACATTTCTTGAGGTGCTAAAAAGCTAGGGCAGTACAAACACCCACAAATTACCCCTTTTCAGAAAGTAGACACCCTAAGCTATTTTCTGAGAGGCATTTTGAGTCCATGGAAGATTTTTTTTTTTTCCACAAGTTTTTGGAAAATAATATTTTTTTATACACAAAGTTGCAATTTAAATAGTATATTGCTCACACATGCCATGGATATATTTGGAATTACACCCCAAAATATATTCTGCTACTTCTCTTGAGTATGGCAATACCACATGTGTGAGATTTTTTGGGAGCTTAGCTGCATACAGGAGCCCAAAATTTTCACTTCCTCACTATCTATCACAGTTTCAGAGGCTCTGAAATCCAAAGATGCCACAATACTCCCTCCCCCACCCCAAATGACCCCTTTCTGGGAAGTGGACACCCCACACTATTGGCTGAGAGGCATGTTGCGCCAATGGAGTACTTTGTTTTTTTACCACACGTTTTTGAAAAATTACAAAAAAACATTTTTTTTTATGCAAAGTTGTCACTTAAATTATATAATGCTTACACATGCCATGAGTATGTGTGGAATTACACCCCAAAATACTTCTAACAAGTATGGGGATACCACATATGTGAGACTTTTTGAGAGCCTAGCCACATACAGGACGGTGCGTAACTTCCTCATTCACTTCCTC